AGAAAGGTCGTGTTTGACTATGCTCAAGGTCACGGCGTGGTTTAGTGTTTGACTTAACCTTCTGACTGTCTGCTTGGTAGGATTGCTGGAATCTCTGCAGATAGATATTTGATCACATATTGTTGGGAATATTTGTATTGATTCTCAGGTATCAAACCCTTTAGTATTATCTGTCTCTTTCATTGTTTAGCGCGCTACTTTGCGTTAGAGAAACGTCTGACTGTATAGCACAGGCTGAACCGTTCGGGGTATTTTGTTTTTTTGATGTAATTTGTTCTGTTTTCTTAATTAGAACCGTTTATATTGAGCACAGAGTTTGTGTTTTGATATAATATAATACGAGTATCTCAAAAACGCGTTGTGAGCCATACAGAGGAACGTGGTCAGGTCTAATCAAATAAATTCTGGGTTCGTCAGTCCGTTGTTCCAATCAAATATTGGTTGTTCGGTCGCTACAACACATGTGGTTTTTCTATTTGATTATTATTAATATACACAGAAAACACTTGTACTGGTCATACCTTAAGCAGCTAACAGGTGTTCTAATGTGACTTGTGAGGGCACTTCGGCATTCTAATTTGTCCATTTATTGTTATTTCTCCGCATGTCTGAGCAACTTCTATATTCTATATTGTACCAAAATATAATATTGAATAAAGCCATTAACAATAATAATAATAATAATAATAACTTTCAATCAGCGATCATCGTATACAAGTGAGTTTTGCAAACAAAAACGCCGTCTTCATACGTACTCAAACTTCTGCCCTCCTGAATGCTAGAGAACACACTTAGCCAATAAGCCACAACGGCCTACAATGGAAATGAGTATAGTATTTTCTTACATTGATTAATTATTCATAACACTTCTGACTGATAAGGTGTACGCACTTGTCAGATGCAGATCAACTCGTTACATAGATGACTTGGGGAAACGTGGCTTCAATGTATCATGCATACCTACATCAAGCCATCAAATGATGGCTGACACAGATGTACTCGATCCTCATACTCTTTATAATCTTATTTTCCTCCTTAACCGTATATTCTACTTTTCCGGGTTGGGAAGTACTCTTATGTGCCCGCGGTTACGTACAGGGTTATGAAAGAGCGGTCTTCATAGACTCAAGGTCACATATTTTATCGTGTTTGATGAGGAGTTCAAATTCACGCAAATTCCCATATTTACATACATGTATTCTAAAAGAGATTTTGTTTTCATATATTTTTATGCACAGAATGTCTACACTATATCTATTTCCTCCCACATTACCAATCCATTCTGGAAGCCAAACACTTACGTGGAACTGAACAATTATCAATTATATTTGTGTATTTTCTATTTGTACCTCAGTATATTTATGCAGGCAGTGGAGCAGTTGTTCATGTTTCATTGGTTTTCATCACTGCCTTTGAAGTAGATTCTTCTTCACTTTTTTGCTTGAGGGCGACTCAAGAAGCAGGTGAGTAAACACCTGATAGCTGGACAGAGCATAGGAAAGTCGTACCTCAAAAACATGGTGTTGGGTAGCTCGATCGCGGCACTTCCTCAGATATTCCTATTTCATTTTCTCACTCTTTTTTTCTTACAAGCACATGCTACAAAATAAGATCACAAGCTAGTAAATGAAGAGACATCCATGGACTACCGTCGATTGCTGGCAGAGTTAGTCGTCATTCATTGAGCGAGTTGATAATTCTCCCTCGGGCCGCGGAAATAGAACTTGGGTGTTTTTAATGGGTAAGATATTTTTGATGATGCATAATCGAACTAACGTACCCACAGAGGTCGATTCTAGGGGAAGCTCGTGTAACAGCCTAGGTTGATTGGTTAAGAGTTGACGTCTAACAGCTAAGTATGTGTCAAAACAATGGAGTTCAACTGTTCTTTCCCTTCCTTATTTTGCACAGACATCATATTTCCTGTTACCTTATATTCAATGTTGAAAAGCTTTGTTTATCTTAACAGGCAATCCCACGCTCCACTGTGACTTTGCGAAGATCTAAATAAAGACTTATTCACTATCAGTCTGGTTTCTTCTATCGACAACACGAGGGTTATCTACAGGCACGAACTACTCAGTGAATAAATCTAAAAGTTTTCAGTTTCCAACATATACTGTTATTATAGTCCAGTAAACACGTTTCTGGCAAGTAAATTGCTCTGTACTAATTGTTGAGGTTTGCAGTTTTTGTGAAATAATAAGTATCTTATCACATTTCCTATTCACTAGTTCTCTTCCGCAGTATACCTTAACTACTCCCAATTTTTTAATTTTGGGAAGACACTCAGACAACAGCGACGAAACTATCAGAATAGCTTAGTTAGATGTGCAGTTTAAAATGCATACTTGTGCGGTGTTTGGTATATTTAGTATTTATTCTTTTTGTTTCAGACTCGCCGAATAGTTGTGTCTTGGTATACTTTGTGGGCGGTTGTTTATCGCTGATAACAGAATAGTACAAGGGTTAGAGTTCCTAGTCACTCAACGGTAAGATTATTGTTATAAATTCTACCAACTTGCTGACGTTGCCGGTTACTTATTTCTTCAAAATATTTACTTAAAGTAGTAGATTAAGAGTAGTGATGATGTCTTGACGTACTTGTTGTGCCAACCAACACAAAAAAAGAAAATCTCATGAGTGCTTAGTGGAGTTTAAGCCAATCCTCGAACACTTTCTAACTCAAAGAAACGAGCTATAAGATTAATTTTTACTTCCTTCTGGGGCGTTTTAGACGTCAATCTTTCTCTTGGTTTGATATCACAGAATCCTTTATACATTATTTGTCAAACAGAAAACTCTCCTGATGGATTGGCCAGTGGAATGTGAGTGAGCTGTGTCGTAGAGTTCAGAACATTGAATAACCGTGAAGATGGACTAATAGCTCATGACAAGTAACTGACATGGTTGTAGCAGTTCATCACCAAACATTAACAGGAAAGCTGTTTATTGTAAGTAAATAGTAAAATGAGGGAATTATAAATATTACCACTATCAGTATGAGCTGTTACGAAGTCAACAATAATCCAAGTATAAATAGAATAATGCTCTACAGACTGGTCAATAAACAAGACAAATATCTCGAAAGTTATGATGAATGTCCAAAGATGCTTGAAATAAAGCTGTGAGGTGTGTTTGGGTCTGCGTTCAAGAACGTAGGAAGATGGGGCTATCATTGTCCTTGACAAGTTAATTCCTAGTGTCTTAGACCCACGGATCGTTCTTCTTTACTTTTGCAATTGATTGTTTGCGAACAAGTTATAAGTGGTATGTAATTAGACTTAGTTTATTATTAGAACGTAATATCAGTCCGTTAGTATAAAATTGCTATGAGTTACAGACACGGTGACATTGTGGAATTGTGGTCTACTATGATATTAGTACTGCTCCAATAATAAAATTAATCCTAAAATTCTAGGTTTGTCGTGACACAACTGCCTAATCTGTGGGATCTTACGTGGATGTCCCATCATTGTCCACACCAACTCATCGCGTCGTAACAATCACCGATATATGATGGAGAACAGACTTAGGCTAGAGATAGAACAATATATTTAATGTGAATAAAAGATTATGTTACAACACTTAAGAATGACCACGCCCGCAAGGCCGAGCCATGCCGTTCGATCGATTCGAATTCACCCTATTCATTCTTCCCGCCTTCTCCATCGTTGGGTTTTTCTCCGCATTAAATATAGAACATCTATTTTACCAGTTGTCTCGTGTTCAGCTTTGATGATTGTGAGGTTAGTGCCCAATGCCACAACAACATTTCTGCTCTATACTCCAATATTATATAGGTTAAAATTATGATGCCTACTGATGGCGGAGTGGAGTTTTATTCTTGGGTGCAAGTAAGTTTTTGAGTGTGCCTCACTAAACACTTTGCAGTAGAGCGATATGAATGTTTGAGTTTGTAGACATGATGAATGAGTTGACATATGTTAGTTAACCAATAGTCGTATTTCAATGTGGTTAACTAGAATTGTATAACTACCTTGAAACGAAGACTGAAACTGTTGCTAGAGAAAAACAACCTATCAAAACATTTTTTCGAAAAGTAGAATTTATGAAGTAAATAATCCAAAAACCAATGTGGACACAAAACGAGGTTGCTTAAAATGATTTCGAATCCTTAACACAATTGCCATAAGCTTGTCTAAACAACAGCCGGAGCTACATGTTCTTATGAGATCGAATGATTGCTGTAACAGAAACGTGACCACCATAATCGGTACGTGATAGTTAAGTGAAGCCGGAAACCTTCTGACAGTATGGGTCGGGAGAAAAGCAGACTGTTGGGGAAGAACGCTAATCATAAAATCAGTAGCCTATTTCAGTGTTCTTAAGGAATGTTACACTTGTTTCTAAGCCAATTCGAAGAGCTATTTAAGTTTGTGGCCTACTGGGATTGAAGATGCCACAGATACTTATAATTTGATAGCACTTTAACCAATAACACTTTCTATAATTGGATCATGCCCACCCAGTGGAATCATAAGTCAGGTTTGAAGATATATTTGATATGTTATCAATATACCGAGAAGTGACTGATCTAACCTGGCTAGCAGTTGCAGGAGAAGTCGAACACGACGTTCCCACTCGTGATCTAGTGAGGATCCATGACCGAGCGCCTTCAGTTAGGTCAGTCCATTTAAACTAATGTGGTCAGTATCAAATATCGAACGCTTCCAGAGCTATTGATTTCGGGGATCTATTTACCGCTACAGGATAATACTTAGATATACTATGTAAGAACTATCAAGACTCATGATGCAATTTCTAACATTCTTTCCTGGTTAAAACAACCGGATTTTGAACTTTTGAAAAACTTCTGCCATAATGATGGCTAAGAATCAGCTTATTATAAAGTCGAGTGAGTATTCACTGTGACAGTGTTTAAGAGCTTCCGGTTAGTTCAGCCGGCGGAATCAAATGGCAGCTGATGGATGGCCTTGACACCTGGTTTTTGCATTTGCCTGTAGTGATTCCCAACTATGACATCTAATAATATGTACAGAGTTGGGGGTATGTTGATTAGTATTTTATTGACACACTTTATTCCTCCTGTTCATTAATGACTTGTTAACACCCACTTGTCTTAGAAGTATGCTGTCTTATAGTTCTAGGATTGTAGATGGAAGGAAACTTTCTGGTTTGTAAACATATTTGGTTTAGTTGTTAATTCGTGTAGAGCTCCATCTCACGTCCATGTATTTAGGGAGATGCAGTTCGATCCTTGATAGCAGGCGCTAAGTTGCTCAAAATGAAATTCTCACCATTACCATTTCTAAGTTAATTGCCTTATGCTTAATATCTCATCTAAGCCCAGTTAGTATGGATATCAGTGACCAATGTTCTTATCAGCGGTTTCGGATGTTAAATTAAGTATAAATATATTAGCTTCCCAATTTTGTATCCGCTGATAATGTTTTTACTTGAAATTTTATAAGGGGTTGTATTATAAGCTCAATTGTACAGACTACTAATTAACAACCTCAACTTAAAGTCTGATTGTTCCTCCTACACTCGGTTTGGTTTCTGTGATTATTTTAAACTTGGAGTATTTTGAACCCACTAATATGTTTGAACACATATTTGATAGGTTTACAACCATGTCTTATCAACTTAAGGTTCGAAAGTTACAGTTCTTGAATCAAAACTATTTTAAATATTATAACTAGTTTAGCGGTTCTGTTCGACTCAGTTTCTAGGGCCCATGTAAAAACCCGCTCCACTTGGGTTTTGAACAACGAGGTTGTATCATTGTCCCTCTCACTTCAAGTGTGGCTCATACGTGTGTGAAAAATGGGTTAATTAAAGTTTAAACATCCCTCACTTTTTAATCAGTAGTATTAAAACCCTTTGAAATTCGGTTTTTTGAAATCTTTTATCACCAGACCATAGGATAGAGGTAGTTAAGTTCAGTCTTCAGTAATAAGTATAGGTCTGTCGACCTATATTAATCCTTGCAGTTTGTAATACTGTGGAGGTCCAATCTCGTTTTGAATATATCAACAGGTGCTGATACTACGTGTTCTGGTGGAGAATTCCAATAATTCACTACTCGGTGCGAGAAACGAAACTCCAAACGTAAATGATTTGATCTCGGCTTTTGAACTTTCTTCGAATGTCCTATCAAATGATCAGTCCTGGACGGAATTAAAAGATAAGACATGTTAATACCAAGGTCATCGTTCAGTATACGATAAGCCAATATTAGATCACCCCGTACTCTACGGTAAGATAACGGAATTAAGTTGAGGTGTCTCAGTCTGTCTTCATAAGATAGGTCAGATAGACCTTTGACCATCTTAGTACCTCGTTGTTGGACTCTTTCCAGCATCTCTGCTTCATACTTGAAACAAGGATACGCTGCTTAAATCCCGTATTCTAAATGTGGTCGCACATAAATCGGGTATAGTAATCTAAACATTTCATCATCTAAATACTGGAAAGACCTACGAATTGATCATAATACCCTATAGCCTTTGGCAGCAGCAGCCTTACAGTGACTAGTCGTTTTGAGATCATTGCTTAATATAACTCCTAAGTCTTTATAGTTTCTTGCTTTGGGTAGCACGAATCCACGTAGTGTATAGTCATACGATTTATCAGAGTTATTTAACTGCATCACTACACTCTTATTAGGATTTACTTCTAGTGACCATCTGTCCAACCATGCCACCAATGATCTAAGATCATCCTGTAATACTATTCTGTCCGACTGTTGTTGCTACCTTGACGTGGTGGTCGGGCTTGCCTATCATGATGAAGCAACCGAGCTATACTGGCTGGAACAACCGTTCTTCAAGGTCCTACCATGTCAGACAGGTCGGTTGAAGAGCGGTAAGACTAAAAGCAACAAACCCAAGGTCCGAAGGCGAAGTCGTACTGCTGACTGTACAGAGGTGTGACAGCAGTAAGGTGTTTCCTTCAGACAACCAGCATGACAGCGATGCTGCCTTCCCACAAGGAGGGGTGGGGTTAGAAAAGGTTGACCCTAAAAATGCGCACTTCACCTTACCTCACGGATTTCCGTCTCCGGCGGTAAGGCCCCTTGGAAGAACGGAGCTAACACGTCAAAAACCTTCCACGAAAAGGCCGTGCGCGACCGGCCTCAAGCAGTTGTCCCTTGGGCACTGCGGTCACACTCTCAGGTCACTGAGACCACTTATAATCCAATTTCCTTTTCAGGTACCTCCAGAAGAACCCTTCCTCGGTGTGGGCAACCGGGAAGTGATAACCGCCCTCATACCTCTAACAGCACCCAAGACCACTGTATTCATAATCAACCTTCCTCTTCAATTCCTATTATTCCTCCTACATCGACTTTCAACCCTAAACTTCCTCCTTCGGCTTCCTCCTCAAGTGTCACCATAGCCAACGATTCTAGTGCTAAAGACTCTGTCCCAGGTCTACTGAAACCTCGCTCCAAACTACACATTGGAGCTTTCAACGTACGCACTCTATGTCAAATCGGTCAGCAGGCTTCCTTGGCTAAAACCCTAGAATCTTGTACCATTGATGTATGCTGTGTCTCTGAAACACGCATACAGGATTCCAGTGTGGTCATTCATTTGACCTCACCTCGGCAAAACGGAGAGCCAACGAGATACACCCTCCGTGTATCTGGTGACCCGATGGCCAGTTTTTGTGGACTGGCAGAAGTAGGCATAGCACTAAGCATGAGGGCGGAACAAGCACTGCTAGAATGGATCCCCGTCAACAGTCGTCTATGTGCTGTTCGGCTAAACGGCTCCGTAAGAACTCGGAAGGATAGGGACACACGTCGTTGCCTTTTCGTCGTTTCTGCCTACGCTCCCACTGACTGCAGCTCAGATGATGTGAAAGATGAATTTTACAGAAAGCTGTCCGAACTTCTTCAGAAAGCTAAACGCTCAGACATAGTACTCGTAGGGGGTGACTTTAATGCTCAGATAGGTAGTTTAAACCAAACAGAAAGGCATTTAGGTGGGTATTTTAGCATTCCGGCACAGCGAACAGATAATGGTGGCCGTCTGCTGCAACTGTTCTCAGACAATCGTTTATTTTTAGCAAACACAAATTTTAAGCATAAGGAGAGACATTGTCTAACGTGGCGACCGCCTGCACCAAACCAACGATGGACTCAAATAGACCATATTGCCATCAGTCATCGTTGGAGAGGGTCGGTAGAAGATTGTCGCTCATTCTGGAGTACCTGCTTGGACTCCGACCACGCCCTAATATGGGCACGCATCTGCTTGCGCCTCACTGGACGCAAAAAAGCCACAGTAAAAAGACCCATTAGAACCGAACTGAGTAGCGAGGAAACCAAAAGTAGGTTCCAGGAACAACTGAGGTCACACTTAGGTAGTTGTGAAGACGAGGCTGACCCAGATGTTGCTTGGAAAGATATACAAACAGCTGTGGAAACAGCAGTGACATCTATTAGTGACTTAAACCACAGAGTTGCAAGGAACCAGTGGATTTCTTCAAGGTCTGTCACACTGATGGATTCTCGCAAACTCGTCCCATCAGGTTCTGAACATGATGAAGAGCGAAAACAAATCAGATCTAGGTTAAGAAAAAGTCTAAGGAACGACCGTGAGCAGTGGTGGGTAACGAAAGCAAAAGAGATGGAAAAGGCGGCGACTATAGGGAACACAAGACAGCTTTACAGACTAATAAAAGAAACTGGAATTAATAAGTCAAGTGTAAGTGAGATTATATCGGAAAAAGACGATACACTCATCTGCTCCCAGTCCAGGCGTTTAGAACGATGGGCGGAACATTTCAGAGAACAGTTCAGCTGGCCTTCAGCTACTCTACAACTGCCCTCCATTCCCAGACAGTGTGAATGGAACATTGAAGTAGGTCCCCCAACTCTTGCTGAAGTTCAAAAGGCTATAGTTAATCTGAAACGCGGAAGGGCAGCTGGTCCAGATGGATTGGCTCCAGAGGTCTTTAAGGATGGTGGTCCAATTTTAGCGATTAGGTTGACTAATATTTTAGCTAAGATCTGGGAGTTAGACGTTATTCCATCTAACTGGTCACAATCACTTATCGTCCCAATATATAAGAAAGGGTCAAAATCATCCTGTGACAACCACAGAGGGATTAGTTTAACTAATATAATATCTAAAATACTAGCCTCGATAATTATCAGACGCCTAACTAAGACTCGTGAACTGCAAACACGAGAGAACCAAGCTGGCTTTAGACCTGGTCGTGGCTGCATCGACCACATATTCACCATTCGTCAGATTCTAGAACACAGGCATACTGATCGGCGTCCGACAATGGTGGTCTTTCTCGACTTAAAAGCAGCATTTAACTCGGTAGACCGCGAGATTCTGTGGCAGTGTCTGTCATTGAAAGGCGTACCTCAGAAGTACATAAACCTTGTAAAGGCTCTTTACTCGAACACTACTAGTCGAGTCAGAGCTTATGGCGAACTGTCATCTACTTTTACAACCTCAAGTGGTGTCCGTCAAGGCTGTCCACTTTCCCCATTTTTGTTTAACTTCATCATAGATCTACTGATGGAAATAACTTTCTCGTCGACTGAGTTCTCGGGTATTGATCTCTTACCAGGAGGTCCACTTATCGACTTAGAATACGCAGATGACATAGTCCTGTTTGGTGAAGACGCTGACAAAATGCAGAGTCTTTTGGTAGCACTGAGCAACAATGCCAGGATGTTTGGAATGCGCTTCTCTCCCTCTAAATGCAAGTTGTTGCTTCTGGACTGGTCTGCGTTAACACCTGAACTAAGGATAGGGAGTGAAGTAGTCGAACGCGTTGACAACTTCACTTATCTTGGAAGTCTGATCAGCCCTAATGGGTTGGTATCGGACGAAATCTCAGCACGGATTCGAAAAGCTCGATTGGCTTTTGCCAACTTGCGTCACCTATGGCGAAGGCGAGATATCCGTCTATCAATAAAAGGACGAGTATACTGCGCGGCAGTCCGTTCTGTTTTAATTTACGGCAGCGAAACATGGCCATTAAGAGTAGAAGACACTCGAAAGCTATCAGTATTTGACCACAGATGCCTTAGAAATATTGCTGGCGTCTGCTGGGATCACCGGGTAAGTAATAGTGATGTTAGACGCAAGGTATTAGGGAATGATGGTAAATCAGTTGATGAGGTTATGAATCTTCATCGACTGAGATGGTTGGGCCACGTGTTACGTATGCCTGAACACCGATTACCACGACGTGCAATGCTATCCGGTATTGGAAATGGTTGGAAGAAAGTTAGGGGCGGCCAAACCAAAACGTGGCATCAGTGCTTGAAGTCACTAACTTCTAGTCTGAGCCATGTTGGTAGATGCAGACTACTTGGTTGGGATCCGCGTGACTATCGTAACCAATGGTTGGAGACTCTTGGTGACATGGCTCAGAATCGATCACAATGGCGTTGGTGTATACACTCTTTGTCTTCCGTTAAACTAAGAGATTAAAATCGCTTCATATCTTTCTTTCTACGAACCAATTCTTTCTTCTTGTACTATATCTCTATATGCAATCTTTCTCTTACATATTACTACCTTTGACCTAACCACTGCTATGAATCCGGTGTTCATCTCGTTGTGCTGACGCGGTATGGCAACCTGGACCGATGCACATATGTGCCTGGTCCTACGTTGTAGCTGACTGACTGATTCTGTCCGACATACTGTTTATGGGTCTCCAACTTTTTATGTCATCAGCGAAGAGTAGAAGGAATGATTTTGGTACGGTTGGTAATTCATTTACATAAAGTAAAAAGAGAAGAGGACCAAGAATTGTGCCTTGGGGAACTCCACTTTTTACAGGTACCCACGAGGAGAAAGCCCCATCGATCCTTACCCTTTGTCTCCTGTCATGGAGAAGGTTACTTATCTAATCTACGACTGTATAATGCATTTCAAAACGTTCCAGTTTGAATTTTAGAACAGAGTGGGAGACTTTGTCGAAGGCCTTACTTAGATCTATGAAGATCACATCCACAGGAATATTCTGGTCTTTCGCAGCAGCCCAGTTAATTTTTTTTGAATGCGTCATACCTTGTAATTTGGTCATGAGTTAAGTTTTTTTGATGTGTTCTTTGCCGTCGTGAAACTTTTTTTTACGATGGCTTTTAAATCTAATCATTTACATAGTAATGTGATAATAATTCATCTTGACTTTGAGTTAAGCTGTATGAATTAGCTGTGATGTTTTACCTCCAGCAACGTTATTGCTACCCAGAAACCAGTATCAATTTTTCTGCGTTTCTGTAAATGAGGAAGATCATTTAAGACCATAGTTTTGGGTACAGCAAAATGATTTTTACTAAAGCTCGCATTTCGTCATGCTTTATGTGGGATTAGACGGATTGATGTTTTCATATTTATTTGAACACGAACATTGGTGCAGGGAGACACTAAATATATATGCACCACACTTCATTCGATTTGTGTGAGGGCTGAACTACTGTCTAGGAGCCCATATCGAAGCAGGTGGTTTTCCTACGAAGCCACTCTAGCCTTTGACCTGAGGGTATAATCCACAAGACAGTGGATCAGTGTTAGGAGATTCAGTCCCATGGTAGTCGGTGACCCATAGGTCCATATGCTATTTGTTATTTCAGGATACGGCAGCTTATGTGAACCATTGGTTTGGAATCAGGGTTTTCCAACTCCCCTGGATGGATCCTCCCCATCCATCAGCCTGGTTAAAGCGCTCGACTTCCACTTTTCGTCCTCTCGATTCCGTAAACAACACCCTTGCCTCGAGAAGGCAGTGAGTAGAAATTTCTTGTCAGCGGTTGTTAATGCATGGCCATATGGAAGCATTTCGAGGGGAGAAGCGTAAGTCCCCACCTTGGCATTTTAGGGCGTAAGCACTGTACGTAGATACAAAGTTGATAATGAAGTCCTGGGTGCGTTTCCTATTTCAGACTCAACAGGTTAGCATGCTGGTATGAATGTTTTTTTAGTACTCGCCATAACAGCTTTGGATGTGAAAATGTCCATTTTGGAATTGAACGTGAATTTGTAGAGTAAGACTGACTTCCATGTTCATACAGCGGACGATTACTAAATACAATGAAATACGTTCTGGATTCAATACAGGTCACCACTGTTTTTATACTATTACCCAGGTTTCACTATTATGTCTGATAGTGTGATCTTTAGGCATAATGGATAAGGCTGTGAAGATGTTTTGACGTAATGTTTGGTGTATGATTTGCGTTCCGGGTAAACATTCACGACGTTGGTCGTACTACTTTGAACATATCAGTACCCATGCACTTCATATTCACCATTGTAATGATTCATGTTTTGGTTTTATCTTTGCGTCGTTTCGAGGTTTCTCAATTTCCGATTTAATCATGTCCTAGAATACTCGGTCTAAAACGCTAGTTGCTTTTTAATGGACACGTGACCTAATTGCTCACTTCATAGAGCTGTTGCATGTCAATTACTGTCGCTAATTGTCATGAAAAACCGATGGGTCTTCCTTTGATTACTATTTTGTAACGAAAGTATTATCTATTTTTGAGTTTTGATGTTTTCCCGTTTCGTTTCTACGGTAAAAAGTTGATTTTAATTCTTGCCGGATAAATATAAAAAACCATTACTTTTGTTTTCAGATTTTGTCTACTTCGAAGTTGCTGCGGCATCACCATATCACATCAGAAAAATCGAAGAATTGAATAAGGTTTGTTTTTTATTTGGAATCGAATAAGTTAGACTCCCACTGGCGCAGTAGAGGCCAAAGTAGTATGTTTCTATAGGCGACGAGACTTATCACCGAACTTGATACAGCTGGCCGACAAACATCAAAGTAAGTTGTAGTCTAATGTGACATACTATCACAGAAGAGTTAGGAACTTGCGGTGATGATACTCAACCGGATATACTGCACCAGGTAATGGTCTTTTTCTTTTACTTATTCAGAAGATACATCATCGTGAATTGTTCCTTTCCCGACATCTGGAAACACTTCCAGCAACACATATTCGTGGAAAATGCATAGTTACTCTACATACCGAAACGGAACCTTATCATATCTACCTGACGAAAGATGACACTTTTTTCTTTCAATTAGTGTATGATCCGTTGCAAAAAACTCTCCAAGCTGACCAAGGATCTATTCGGGAAGGTCCTCAATATCAAGCAGAGATTGAGCCTTACCATCCTCTCCTAGAATGTAAGCCTTCGTTATGATATCTTCAATGTTCTTGTTAACTAATAAACCCCTTCTTGACAAGGGGAACTTCGTTTAGAATATCTAATGAATTCCTACTAATGCGTTAGTGACAAGTCTAACAACTAAAATAAGTTCTCAATATTACAGTTTGATTAGGGTAGATAGTGGATTGTAAAAATAACTAATTTTATACTGTAGCTCTTACTTAGTGTGCTATTTTTGATTTATTGTCTTATTTTTATATTAATTTTAGATTCTACCGACGAATCTACACATGAACAGCTGCTGTGGCGACCAGACAACAATTTAACTCCTTCAGATCTAGACTCATATCTCCTCTTAATTAGATCTCTTGCTACATTGGGCAGATCTTTTTATCCACCACATATTCTCCGTCAGCCAAACCTTACAATGTCTGCAGCTGCAGCGGCCAGAGATACCACACACCAGTTTGCTTTAGATACTTTACATTCTGCTAATTATAATATCTCGCAAGCACTTCAAATGTTAGCTCCTCATGGACAACCGATCTTAAAGTTGGATGAAATGGAGCAGTGGTCAGCAAGCGAAGGCAATCTTTTTGAAGAAGCGTTAGAAAAATATGGGAAGTGTTTTTATGAAATACAAAATGACTTCCTTCCTTGGAAGTACCCAAAAGTAATGTGGTTGATGTTTCATACTAATATTATATTTCATTAGTCACCTCTTTTCTTCGTATACTATAGTGACCAGACGTATCATTCGTTTTTCCATATATCTAATATAGAATCAAGCTCAAGTATCTGGAAGCTTTGTTTTCAGTATTTTATTTTTTATTGACATTGTCACTAAAAAGATAAACACCTGCCTAGCATGTGCTAACAGCTTGTATTTTGCATTTTTTGGGGTTTCGATCCATCCTGATATAGTTTACTCTTGTTAATTCAGTATCGTCCCAATGAAAATACACCGGTAATTTTTACAATTTTTTTCCGAATAATTGGATTATTACCATACTTGTTAGTTTTGCATACTGGTGAACTTTCTTAAACGAAATCAACCAGTAAAACAGAAATCAAGGTCAACTGAATTCCTGAAATCTTACGTTTTACTGCATACTATGTAAGTCGATCTTAGAATAAGTTAGAAATAGTGCATCTGTACCCTACATTTCTGTAGGTTCGATATTTATATCAAACATTGAACTAACTTTATAACTCCAGTCTTCAGTTTGCGGTTATCCTTCAAACTACATATTTCCAAATGTTTATCTGTAGTTGTGTTTTGGTGTAACGTATTTAGTTTGTATTATTGATTTTTTATACTTTTAGAGCCTTGTGGAATTCTACTACATGTGGAAAACTACAGATCATTATGTTCAGCAAAAACGTATGAAGGCTATTGAAGCAGAACATCATCTAAAGCAAGTATACATTCCAAATTACAACAAGCCGAACCCGGCTGTTCTTTATCCAGTTACAACTGATACTAGTAGCTCAGCATCTGGATGCGAGGGTTGTCCTAATCTTACATCAACTCTGTGGTATGCTCTTGGTCCATCTCATTCTCCTTTAAAAGTTTGCGTTGATTGTTGGAATTACTGGAAGCGATATGGAGACTTAAAATCCACATCACTTTTGGGTGAGATTCATTAGCTTATTCCAGCACATTTTAATACATGCATTATTTAAGTTCATTTATCTTGTGACACTAGCACAGGTGTTTTTTGGTCCATGTTACAACACAAGAAGAAAGTAAATAAGTAGTGGTAAAACGAATTAAGAAAGGTACTGATACTTGGAGTTGTGTACATTAAAATAAGGAAATTAGTCGAAAAAGCTTCTCATTTCACGGGAAATATGAATTACAGAATGTTACTGTGTTTAAGACTTGGGAAAAATAAGGAATAATTTCATTTGTGATGATGGTACTTTTTATGCTATATTACTGGAATTCTACTTGTATGGTAGTGTATACAGCTCGTAAAAATTTTTTTTATTATTTAACCTATTTTTCAGTGGAGTAGCTTCTAGTATTGAAGAAGCTACAGGTTTGTTTTAGGTTTTCTGCTCTTGTCGCATTTTTGTATCATTGAGATACTTAGAGTATGGTTCAAAACCAGGTACACGAATCGGTATCTAGTCAATTAGTCAGTAAATAAAATTCCCGAGACCACCTTTTGTTCTTAATAGTGTGATGGTTGTTTATAGATTTTTTATATCGTTATCACGAGTAATGTGGGACCTGGCACACATACACGTTGACTCAAGTTACCAAACTTTATTATAGATGAAGTCGTTTCTTCGACTCTAGTATCTGGTTGTAATATAGTGACCAGAATAATTAATTTAGCTATTAGTTAGAAATATGTGTCTGAAGTATCAGTTTGTCAAACAATACTCCTAAATATAGATATTTATTCGATAATGTTGAAGTTTGACCACTACGTTGTTTAGCCAGTGAAATATAGTATGATTAATCAAATATTCATTAATTACCTGTCTTATTATATTGACGATCTACGTTTGTTGTATTTGTTTTCCAGATAAAGTTTCCGAACCAATTTCTTCCAATCCAACATGCGCTTCCAGCTCAGATTCCAAAACCATGAGTGTCTCGAAAACTAATATTTCCATTACTGAACTCCAAGCTCGTAAGAATTCACCCACTGTTTCGACTGACCACTCTACAAAGTCGAACGACTTAGGAGTTAATAATTCGAATGCATATATGCTAGCATCTAAAGTTCGTACCAGCGTCAGCTTTCATTTTGTCGCTAGTGTCACTCTTCGGATCGCTCGTCGGCTGTGTGTGACTTCAAGTCCTCGACGCCGAGCTCGTCAACCATTCAAACGCCTCACATTTTTAACTGGTTTCCATAAAGACACTCTCCCGTTGTTAACTAAACTTACTCCGGCTGAATCTCATAAACTTACAAAGCGATTTCGAAATATATCTGCGGTAAGCAAATGCAAATCCCGTGGAGTTGCCTTACATTCTTTGGTCTCACGATTGCATAAAACAAAATGTAGTTCATCCAATGGAGTAGAAACAGTTTTGGCTGGTGAACCCTTATCTATGATTATAGAAAAGTAAGGAGAATGCATGTTAGGTTTGCTTTCATTCTGGGAATTTACATTGCAGTTGTGAATATTTCCTTTCAATTTTCATTATTTTCCCCTTTATTTTTGTTCTAGTGTATATCAGAGTTTTGTTTTTCCGAATACATTGTGGCAAACTCTGTAGTTTTGGTTCACTGGTCTTCAGAATTTGTTTTTATTTTTGTGGTGGCATTATCGACGTTTTAATTCGAAATCGTTTACTTAGTTATGTTGTATTTGTTCACATTACTCCACTGCCTTGTGGTTCAGACCTTTCGGCTTCGGGTGTGGCCCCTAAGAAAACTACCTGCTTCGGTATGGGCACCCAGGCAGTATCCCAGCCCTCACACAAATCGAATGATTTATGTGGCGCGTATCTATTTGGTGCCTCCTTGTATCAATGCTTAAATAAATAAATAAAATAAAATGTTCACACTAATTAGAGATTTTGTAACACTAAACATGGCTTATCTGACTCAGTAGTTTATGAATGATCAGATCAATCCGGTTAAACTGAAGCTACAATTAAGTGATTCAACATGTGGATAAACTGTCATTCTGTTAAATTGATTCCTTTCTGATCATATTCATCTTAAGTGTATTTAATGGTAAGGTGTGCATATAGGCTTACTTTGGATCTATATAAAGAGCTTGATTGTTTATGCTCTCACAAACAATTTAATTTCCCGACTAGCGGTTGTGTAGTTTGAACAGTTCAGCCCCCAAATGCCCTGGTACGACCGAGGGTGGGGGAAGTTAGCTCTCCCTCTCGAAATGCTCTCACATGGTCACGCGTATACAGCCACTGCCAGGGAAGTCCTACTCACTGCCTTCTCGCGGCGGGGGTGTTGTTTACGAAATTGAGAGGACGGAAAGCGAATGTCCGGCGCTTTAACCGGGTTGGTGGATATGGGGGATCCATCTAGGAGAGTTGGAAAACCCTGATTCCAAAACACTGGTGCACATGGGCTCTGGTATTCTGAAGTAACAAATAGAACGTGAACCAATTGTTGGTCACCGGTTACCATGTGACTGCATCTCCTGACGTTTCTCCATTCTCTTGTGGATTAAACTTTTAGATCAAAGGCTGGAGTGACCTAAGAAAACCACCTGCTCCGATCTGGGCACCAGGGCAGTATCACAACAAATCAAGTGACTTGTGTGGCGCATTTGTATTCGGTGTCCTTTTGTACCAATAAAATCATATCGATACTTTCAAACTCGTTTCTTTTGGTTTGAGTAATTTAGTATTCGAGTTATCCTTCAAGCGTTTTGTATCTCACGCTAGCAAATAAACTTTTACCCAATTATTTGGTTATATATAAAACTTTGCGATATATGTATCCGAAAGATGTTTGCAGAACTTGGTGTTCTGTGAATCGGATGATAGGATTGGCCTTTAATAAGTTGGTAAAGTATGAGAGTTTGTTCTGAGTTGTCAAAAATAGAACGCGCGTATCTGTAGCTTATAATCCGTAGTTCAGACAGTCATTCGATATAGTGTTACAGATTTCGAAATTGATTGGTTTAATAATTACGTATATGCATATAAATATTACTGTATATTAAAGTCTGATGAGGATCTAATCGAAAACAATATTGTTCGCTTATATATGTTGTTCTAGAGTTCAAAATGTTTACACTAGTGGTTGTGGGATCTGCTATCGACTTCTTATTTTTACCATTAATCATACTCCTTAATTAAATGTTTTACGACAGCCCGCTATTGTAGATGATTACCTTTTAGAGATATATCATAAGGAGTATTAGATTTATAATGTTTTCCTTTAGAAGGTGGGGGAGGGGGACAACAGTGTTTTTCTTTATGTTCATTTGCATATGTTCTGAAAGGTTGTCATAGATTTTTATCCTCATGTGTGTTACTTCGTGCGAAGAATCCCTATTACGGACGATTCGTGAAAATGTAAGATGTCAGTTTTGGTCTGTTGCTGATGTCACTATTTTTAATTAAGGTGTCGATGCATTCTTTATGAGACAGGTATTTATGCGGATAAAATTTATTTACTTCCCTTCAAATATTCACTTCATATATTGGCGATTTATTATACTCTTTTCTACAATATTCTCTTTAATTAGTCTGAGAGACAACTTTGGCGACATAGTTCACCTGAACCTTTATGTTTATCAAGTGAAGTCAACTCGAACTGCGTAGTTTACTGATATCTGAGAAAGAATCGTCTACTAATTACTGAAGTAGAATTTTCTCTTTCAATTAGTCGAAATGGTGTACAGCTATTTCTAAAATCCACAAAGCCTTTCTAGTTTCACCTTTGGATATAAGTAGAAAATCAGGATTCTAGTTTGTCAGTGCATATCGCTGTCTAAATAAGCATTTATAATTTATGATATAATATTCCTCACTGTACAACTGCTGTCGATAGTGATGAACAGAAACATCACAAACTTGTGTACAAAGATAAGTACCTGATGTAGTCAAGTTGAATTTACTTTGCTCTCCTTCACTACATGTTATCTACTCTAACTGTGTGATAAAATATGGGAAGAACTGGGTGGATGTTTAATGACAATTACTAAGAGGAAAACCGTCGTAGGACTGTGGATTTATGTTTTAAAAAAGATTGAGTATAATTGTGTCAACTTGAAAGGTGTCTTATTTTACTCCAGACAAAATATGGGGAAATTGCAAAGATTGTTAGCGTTTCAGACTTATGAAGATTAAGTCTTGACTCATATTCAAACCTTTATTATTCAATGCTGAAATGGCTTTAATTTTTTAAAGGCTTACAAACTACATTTATTTTATCTACTCACTGAAATATAGTTCATACTTCATATTATGTTCTCTACAGACTCGTTCTAGATGTATCTTAAGGGTCAAGATCTCATTCTGTAATCAAATAGTTTGTGGGGCTCTTATTTTTAGTCAGGACCTACATGTTTTCCACATTTATTTTATGATGGAGCATTTTCTTTTTATTCTCACTTATTGCTCTGTTCACATATTTCATTATGTGATTTAAGGTGCAACTCAACAGGTATTCCTAACCTCAATACCAATGGTATTATAAGTTCTTGACTTTATTCGACTGATAGTTTTTGTCTTAAAATCATAGTAGTTAATCATAAAATTTTATTTAGAAATTCGTTTGGTGTATATTTTTTAAAAAATAATGTGATCTGGTTTAACCGTTAAAAATAGATCTTTGAGTTAGTGTTTAATTTGGTGGATACCACATAACTCATTTTGCATCTGAAGGTGGGTAATTATTCTTAGTGATGGGAGACCTAGAGAGCACATGAAACCTACCATGTTCGTCAGTCTCGGTTTTATTTGAGAGAGTATGTCAACTAACGACATTATCATAAATGAAGGTTGGGAGACAATTAGTTTATGTAATGTTTCAGTGTTTAATTCTTATACGATAACTTCAGTTCATCAGTGTTTAGGGCAGTTACTATTAGTATCACCATTTTCGAGTTATGATATAACAGTAAATCCGGAAATATTTCCTAAAATATTTTTACAACCAGCATGATGGAAATCTAATCTGTTATCTTTTCACCTATCCATTATTTGATAAAGATACATATTTTCGTTGTATAAATTGCAAGAGTGATAAACTAACTATTGTTTTTTTTTTAACGTTGCGGATTATCTACCGAAACGATCACATAATGAGAACAAATAAATTGTACTATATCATGTCGTTCCGCACTATTGTTTAGCTGTACTTATATCATTAACTTGCAGGCGTCATTTTATTCAAATTGACGATAAATTCTTTATGTACTTCCGATATCAGAAGTTTAAAGTTGTTTTGTCATTATCTCTAAAACTATGTTCACACTGAGGAAATTTACTACAAATCATAGTTTCTATAAGAAAAACTCAGGCTTCGTTAAACGGGTTCTAGTAATAAGGTACTCGTTGATAAGAGGGATCTTCATTTTAGCTCATATTCTGTTGACGTAGCGGAAAAATTTCGTTATTGCAAAATGTTTCACAATAGTCCCTAATTTACCAGTGCACCTAGATTATAAAAGAATTTGTTAAGTATCCCCCCCCATAAATTCTTATACAGTTTACACTTATAAATGCTAAACAATGATCAGGTTTAAGACAATCAAATGCTTTATAATTATAATATATTTTGACCTTTGTAAAATGTCACAATAATTATGTGTTTATAACTGTAGAGCTGTATGATGTAGTTATTGAAAACAATTTTTCGCTCAAATCTTATTTGCTTTTGAATAATATATATATATTGAGAATTACTTCCCAGTTAAATCAAACATCCTGGAACTTGTTAGTATTGGTTATTTATAGATGAAATAGATGTTAGAACGGACACATATAGGTGAACAATACTGTTTTCATTTGGACCTTTATCAGGCGTTGCCTCAATACAGTAATATTTCTATGCATATGTGAAAACGTTAGTGGGAAATCTAGATTTTTAAAATGGTTGTTATTTCAAGATTTCCGCTCGTTAGGAAATATCGTTCTCAAGAATTTTGTTTAGACCAGCAATACCTAAGATATCCTCTGTAAAATGTTTTGATTGGTTGCCTGACTTCTTAGTTATTTCGGAACATTATTGTTAGATTCACCAAACAACTTGTAAAATCAATATTGCTAGGATTAATTATTTTTAGTTTCTATTCTTTTCACTTCTAATTTTCCTTTGGTTCTTTGAATATTTCTTTTTATGTGTGAAATTAAGCCCAAGATATGCCCCTTCAGATACTGCTCTCGACTTAGCTGTGAACGGTTTGGTCACTACATGTGATTCCGGAAGTCTCAAGGATCCTGGTTCGATGCCTAACAGTGATGAGCATTCAGGTGATTTTATTCGTTTAATCTTTTTTCTTGAAAATTCATTGTCTTTATTCGCAGTTAGTTGTTTTTTTGAAATATATGATATATATAATCATAGTTTCCCTCTCTTTTTACTCTTGCCATTGTTACCTTCCTCACATTAAACTAGTTTCATGAGGACAATTTTACGTGAAATTTGTTGTTTGAATTCATTGAACTTATTGGGAACAAAAGAGATGGAAAACGCGGCGGCTGTAGGTATCACCAGACAACTTTTCAGACCAATAAAAGAAACTGGAATTAGGTAGTCAAGTGTGAGACCATCTCGGAAAAAGTCGACACTCTTATCTGCTTCCGGTCTAGACGTTTAGAACGATGCGTGGAACACTTTAAGGAGCAGTTCAGCTACTCTACAACTGCCCTCCATTCCCAGACAGTGTGAATGGAACATTGAAGTAGGTCCCCTGACTCTAGCAGAAGTTCAAAAGGCTATAGTTAATCTGAAACGAGGAAGAGCAGCTGGTCCAGATGGATTGGCTCCAGAGGTCTTTAAGGATGGTGGTCCAATTTTAGCGATTAGGTTGACTAATATTTTATCTAAGATCTGGGAGTTGGACGTTATCCTATCTGACTCGTCATAATCACTGATTGTCCCCAGTATATAAGAAAGGGTTTAAATCATCCTGTGATATCCATTAAGGGATTAATTTGACTAATTTAGCATCTAAAATACTAGCCTCGATAATTATTGGACGCCCAACTAAGACTCGTGAACTGCAGACACGAGGAAATCAGGCTGGCTTCAGACCTGGTCGTGGCTGCATCGACCACATATTCGCCATTCATCAGGTTTTAGAACACAGGCATACTGATCGGCGTCCGACAATGATAGTTTTTTCTTGACTTGAAAGCAGCATTTGATTCCGTAGACCGAGTGGTTCTGTGGCAGTGTCTGTCATTGAAAGGTGTACCTCAGAAGTACATAAACCGTGTGAGAGCTCTTTACTAGAATACCACTAGTCGAGTCAGAGCTTATGGCGAACTGTCATCTGCTTTTGCAACTTCAAGTGGTGTCCGTCAAGGTTGTCCACTATCTCTATTTTTGTTTAACTTCATCATCGACCTGCTGGTAGAAAAAACGCTCTCGTTGTCGCTGACTGACTGCCCCCTTGTATCAATCTTTATGTGTTCAAATAAATAAATATTCATTTGATTTCCTGTTCAGTAATTTACGCTGAAATACTTTCAGATTTACATTGTTCATTCGTGATGGTAAAGAGTTGTTACTGCTTTACTCTACCAATGTATTAGGAAACTATGTAGGTTTTAATGCCAATTATATGCTTCACACAGTGATGAGTTTTCTTGAAGTAACAAATCTAAATTGTCACAGCACATAGTACTGAATGTTTCCAAAGTTTTATTTGTATAGTTTAAGGAGAATGAAATTAGATGTTTTGTTCAATGGCCGTAATTGATTAACCGATTTAAGTCTTCATTCTAATTTTGATTTTATATAGAAAGCATCAAACAATTTTCTACTAGTTCGATTGTCATCTCATCTACTAAGCTTTGAACAACAAGATATTGTTTTATGTACTGCTAGGTAATTTTTAGTGTAGTTCATAAAATTGGTAGTAACTTTTAACAGACGACGTGTTAAAACCATTACTTCCTATGTAATTCTACTCAATTGCATTCAGTGAAACACTAATTGTTCATGCATAATTAATTTAACGGTGTCTAGATATTTTTTTGATAGTGAAAAGTTTTCTTAAATGTAGTAACATGATTTGATGACACAATCACATTCATAGATTACGTAATTTGTATAGATTAACCAAAGTCAATGTAAAATATTCAATAAGCAAACTTACTTACTTACGACCGTTACTCCTAATGGAGCATGGGCCGCCGACCAGCATTCTCCAACCCACTCTGTTCTGGGCCTTCTTTTCTAGTTCAATCCAATTGTTGTCCATTCTTATGTCTATCTCCATTTCTCGGCGTAATGTGTTCTTCGGTCTTCCTCTCCTCCTTCGGCCTTGAGGATTCCATATGAGAGCCTGCCTTGTGACGCAGTTGGGTGCTTTCCTCAATGTGTGTGTGTCCTATCCACTTCATATCCGCTTCTTCCTGATTTCTTCCTCCGCTGGAATGTGGTTTGTTCTCTCCCATAATGGATTGTTGCTGACCGTGTCTGACCAACGGGTCCAAAGTATTTTGCGTAGACAACTATTAATAAACACCTGTATCTTCTGGATGATGGCTTTTGTAGTTCTCCAGGTTTCTGCCCCATACAGTAGAACTGTCTTGACATTTGTATTGAAAATCCTGACCTCGATGTTGGTTGACAGTTGTTTTGAGTTCCAGATGTCCTTCAGTCAGTCAGTCAGTAACAACGTAGAACTTCGTACATACGTACATCAGTTCGAATTGCCATACCACATTAGCACAGAGATGCAGTTGTCGATTCAAATCCCGTAGTGGTAGAGGTAGTAAAAGTATAAGCAGTAATCGGGAAGATTAGGGTTTGGAGATGTTATTTAAAGAGTATAATCCAGTGAAAGAAATTTGGAAAGAGAAAAAAGAAAGGGACATGAAGAATTCAGAAGATTAGAATTTGGGAGAACACAGAGAGTGGATGCACCTGCGCCATTCCAAACGATTTTGAGCCATGTCATTCAGGGTCTCTAACCATCGGTTGCTATGATCTCGCGGTCCCCAACTAGGTAGTCTACAACTACCAACATGACTCAGTTCACTTGTCAGTGACTTCATGGACTTGTGCCATGTTTTGGTTTGGCCGCCCCTAGCTTTCTTCCAACCTACTCCTATACCACTGAACATAGCACGTCGATGCAGTCGGTCGTTGGGCATACGTAACAAATTTCCCAGCCATCTCAACTGATCAAGTTTCACTACTTCATCAATTGATTTGCCATCCTTACCTAGTACCCGTTTCCTAACAGCTGCATTACTTACTCGATGGTCCCAGAATATACGAGCAATGTTTCGAAGACACCTATGATCAAATACTAGTAACCTACGGATATCCTCTACTCTTACCGGCCACGTTTCACTACCATAAAGTAGGAAGGAACGAACTGCTGCGCAGTAAACACGTCCTTTGGTTGATAGACGGATATCTCGCCTACGCCATAAATGACGCAAGTTGGTAAAAGCTAATCGAGCCTTCTGTATCCGTGCTGAGATTTCGTCACACACCAGACCACAAGGGCTGATGAGACTTCCAAGATAAGTGAAGCGATCGACACGCTCAATTACTTCACTCTATCATTAGTTCGAGTGTCAATGCAACCCAATCCTGAAGCAACATTCTGCATTTCGAGGGAGAGAATCGCATCCCGAACATGCTTGTATTGTTGCTTAGAGTGGTCAGAAGACTCGGCATTTTGTCAGCGTCTTCACCAAATAGAACTATGTCATCGGCATATTCCAAGTCAACAAGTGAATCTCCTGGTAGAAGTTCAACCCCTGGAAATCTAGATGAGGAAAGTGTTATCTCTAAAAGTACGTCAATAACAAAGTTAAACGAGAATGGAGATAATGGGCAGCCCTGATGAACACCACTTGAGGTATTCAATTCTGATGTCAGTTCGCCATAAGCTCTCATTCGACCAGTTGTGTCCGAGTAGAGAGCCTTTACAAGGTTAATGTACTTTGGTACTCCTTTCAATGACAAACACTGCCATAGAACCTCACGATCAACAGAGTCGACTGCTGCTTTAAGGTCAAGGAATGTCCTTCAGTTGTAAATATACTGCTCTCGCTTTACCGATCCGCGCTTTCACATCTGCATCAGATCCACCATGTTCAACAATGATGCTGCCCAAATATGTAAAGGTTTTTACATCTTCCAAATCTTCTCCGTCAATTGTGATTGGGTTGGTGCATGCTGTGTTGTATCGGAGAATCTTGCTTTCCCATTGTGTTATGTTAAGACCTACAGCTGCTGAGGCTGCTGCTACACTGGTCGTTTTCTCCTGCATTTGTTGTTGCGAGTACGATAGAAGAGCCAGATCATCTGCGAAAGTCTAGATCGTCCAGTTGCATCCTAGATGTCCACTGTATCCCGTGTTTCCCCCAGATGTTGAGGTCTTCATGATCCAGTCGATCACCAGGAGAAAGAGAAAGGGTGAGAGTAAGCAAGCTTGTCTGACACCGGTCTTTACTTTGAACGAGTCTGTCAATTGTCCTCCATGCACGATTTTGCATTTTACTTCATCATATGAATTCTGTATGATATTGACTATCTCCTGAGGCACGCCGTAGTGTCGAAGAAGCTTCCATAGTGTTGTTCTGTCCACGCTATCAAATGCCTTTTCGTAGTCAATGAAGTTGATGTAGAGTAATGAATTCCATTCAATTGGTTGTTCCACAATGATCCGTGATTGCCTCTTTTATCCCTTTCCAGTTGCTCTCCTTTGAGTAAGTCATGAAAGGCCTGGAATTTTTGCTGAGGACTATCTAGAATTTATGGATTTTTTCAGTATCATGGAGAAAAGCCGTACTAAACTTTTGTGATGTCCGCCCCGTTGTCCAGTGCTTCTTGAGTTTCAGTTTCATCTTGGCGACCAACAAGTGATGATCTGATGCTATATCAGCTTCTCTCCTGGTTCCCACATCGTCCATCGTCCTCCTGAAGTTTTTATGGATGAAGATGTGGTCGATTTGGTTTTGCGTGGTGTGATCCGGTGAAGTCCATGTGGTTTTATGAATGCGTTTATGTGGGGATATAGTGCCTCCTATGATCAGTTTATTAAAGGCACATAGGTTTGCAAATCTCTCATCATTTTCGTTCGTTTCTCCCAGTCCGTGTCGTCCCATGATGTCTTTGTATCCGGTGTTGTCCGTTCCAACCTTCGCGTTGAAATTTCCCATCAGAATGGTCAGGTCCTTTGTTGGGCAATTCTCGACGATTGACTGCAGCCTATCGTAGAATTGATCTTTGGCTTCTTCATTGTGGTCGTTGGTAGGCGCATAGCATTGGATGATGTACATTGAAATGCCCTCTTTCTTTGTTTTGAATGAGGCTTTGATGACCCTTGGTCCATGAGATTTCCGAAGGAACAAGTCTTTCATTATGAGGCGTCATAACTCTTCTAAATGAAGACCTGACTCCCAGGGCAGAGTTTAAATGGTTTTAATAATTTTTCGTGGTTAGCGTTATTTAGCGAGTTAGTTTTCTACGGGATGGGGTCACCAACCCCATGCCCAACCCTCCTTTATCCGGGCTTGGGACCGGCAGTAGCCCCCGAAGTGACTCGAGGTGGAGTTTTAATAAGCACACAGTCACCAAATTTATGTTGACGCAACTCAGATTATTGACCAGTAGAAATAATGATGTGAGGAACTAAAGCCAAAGGAAAATAACATAGAAAGTAAAAAAGGAATAAATAGTACGTGATAGTTTGAATAAAGCAAAAGGACAAAATTTACAAAATACGATTATGTGATAATACGATATTTAGAGAGCAGCAATTAATAATTATTAAGGTAGATTAATGATGAATACAGTGATCTTGACTGCTATTAGAGGTATGACGGCGGTTGTCACTTCCCGGCTGACCACACCGTGGAAGAACTCTTCTGGAGGTACCTGAAAACGAAATTCGATTAAAGGTGGTCTTAGTGACCTGAGAGCGTGACCACACTACCCAAGAGACAACTGCTTGAGGTCGGTCACACGAGACCTTTTTGTGAGTAAGTTTCGTGTTAGCTCTGTACTTGTTGAGACCTTACCGTCGGAGACGGAGATCCATGGGATAAGGCGCTGTGTGGATTCTTACGGTCAAACTTTTCTAAACACACCCCTCCTTGTAGGAAGGTAGTATCGCTGTTATGCTGGTTGTCTGAAGGGAACGCCTTACTGCCGTCACACCGCTGTACAGTCAACAGTACGACTTCGCCCTTGGATCTTGGGTTTGCTGCTTTTAGTCTTATTACTCCTCAACCGACCTGTCTGGTATGGTAGGACATTGAGGAACGATTATTCCAGCCAGTATAGCTCGATTGGTTCATCACGATAAGCAAACCCGATCACCACGTCAAGGTAGCAGCAATAATATCTTATTTATATATGTTGTGCTGAAACACAACTTTTTGACCATTAGGTTTTCACTTTTTAACCACACTGCACTCACGTCACTTTCACTGAGTATTATTTTTAATTATATTTAACGCGGAATTCTGGATGCTGTTCCATGTTTCCAAAGTAAATTTAACGACTAATTGCACTTGATAACATTTTCGACTTTTAGCTTATCAGCGTTTTTCGCATTGGCTTTTAGTCAAGTTCATCTAATCCGTAACACATCTGTTTGAAATTTGTCTAATGGTTATGATGTGTAAGCTACAATTTCATTTATAATTAATAGATGCCGACTGTATTTCTAATAAGAACCCTAACGCGACAATTCCTGATGATGAATCGAACATTGAAGTCATGTCAAACAATCATGGGTGCATAAATTTGGGTCCAAAACGTCGTTTTACTGTTGGGTCTGATGTAGATGGTGCGTCAACTTTGATGTACCGAGCCACTCAACTGATTAAGTAAGTATCCATTTCGAACTGTATGCTTTAATGCTTAATATTTCACGTATTCTCTCTTCAGACTAAGCCTAGATATCAGTAGCATCTTTGATAGACATAAAAATACCAACCATCTTTTTACACACTTAGGAAATATAAGGAACTTTGTAAGGTATACTAAAGTACCACACCGTATGTTCAAATCGTTGTATCTCATATGATTAGGGTGACGTACCCTATGTTAGTTGTAAATAACTTACTAAATTTCGTTGTTTCTCTTGCAAGCCATGTTAACAGATTTATCTTTCAGTGTTTCTGGTAGTATTAACTCATTAAAGTGCACTGATCCATAAAAGATGGAATATCCTAACTAATATCCTAACAGAAACGCATCGTCTTTAAAGCTCAAACTTCACATAAATTCAGCAAACGACAGGCTAAAGACAACGAAACATACGGAATTAGAAACGGTTTATGAACTGAGCTGGTTGATGGTTTCAGTTCATTGGTACGTTAATTTTCGGGACTACCTACATGTAATAGAGAATGTATCCATCTGCTAATTACAATGAATGCATATGTATAGTTTTCACTTGATTTAAGAAATATGTAATAATCATGGGCTTATAGTGTTTCTCAAGTTAATTTGTAACTAGCGAATGTCCAGAAACTTGTGGCCCGAAATCAGATTCCGAGTAGATCGTATGAATGGTTGATGAAATATACATATCGTCTATCCTCTTACATAATCATCAACTGAAATCTCGTTAGTGAATAACGGAATTAAATAAGTCAAATACGAGAATGGATGTTTGAATACACATATTTTGTACACTCACTTATCTGGACAGAAAATGAGACGGATGAAGCGAATAGAAGAAAGCGAAGCGAAATGACGCGCGTTGGAGAAGGCATGTGAGCCAACTCTATTTAATCAAGCGTTAATCAATATTTATAGTCACACAAAATCAAACTATAGACGTCATGACTAGGATTAGATATACACACATATGTTCATTTAAAAACAGTCAAGGTTGATAAGTGGATAATTGACAAAGTCAAAACGTGACACAAGAAGAATGAATAGATCGGCCTGTTCAGAAGCTAGAATAAGCTTTGTGGTCTCAACATATCATCGGAGACTACAAACTTCATTCCTTCAGGATTATGGTATCAAACAACAAAAATGACTTTTTCAATTCAAGAATATTATAGTTGCACTCGATAAGTTTATAAAACATATTTTCATTTTCTCTATTTTTATTCTAATAAGCTTCAGTGAGCAAAATTATGTTAAACCTTTAGAGAAAGTTTATTATGAACTATCTAACATAAGAATGATTGTTGCAGTACAATTAAAAATCATAAGTAAATACCATGCCAAAGTAAATATGTTCACTTTTAGTTATTTTGACTTCGATTACATAGATTTTAGTCATGATACATTCAGCGAGATAACCAATTATTTCACTTGAGAAGTATCATAGTTAAAGCACAAAGGAAAATTTATATCGTTAAAAAGGGAAGTTATTTTGAAATGTGGGCTTAACATAGTAATCGACACTACAGACTATTTGGTCTACATATCCACGTTTAAGTCTGAAACTAGCCTGGTTCCTCTTCATGTGTCCTAATTAAGTGTTAAAGGACTGTTGAGGCTTATAATTTAAACACTGTTTTAGTCAAACTAGTTCTTTGTGCTTGTCATATATAAATTCCTTCTTTTCCTATGGACTAATCAACAATCGAAACTAATTTGATGGGATCGCTACCATTTCTCAAACTCTAGCTGATATCCCAGTTAACTTAACCGTTAAAAATAAACCACCATCCTTAAAAAATCTCTTGTTTGCTGCTCTTCTTCGTTTTAGAATTACCTTTAACCTCTTTATGTAGGCAGAAACAAGGCTCAAAGCGGTGTACACAAACCTATATTTAGTCAGTAAGCTAAGTTTCATATATCTCATGTGCTTACAGCTACAGCATATCTGTTAAACAAGATTTCACCGTTATTTGAAATAGAATTATTGAGAGACACTTATCATCAAAACTGCTAAAGTTTTATCATAAAGTTTGTAATGCAAGAATTTTCATGTCATTGCGTTCGAGTTCTTCACTGTTGTCTGTTGTAACTCTCCAAGAACAAATAAGTAGGAGGGATGTATTGCAAACAGAAATAACGAATTGCAAATCGAAGATACTGACTTGAAAGAGCTTCTGCATCATATTCTCATGTGAGATTGTTTCATTAATGCAAATTTATGTCTTTTTGAATATTAGGCTGAAAAGGTCTACTTTTTCTTCATTTTCATCCTTTACAATTGAATTAATCCCCATTGGTTTCTTATTTTTTATTCTTTTGTTAAAATGTCATTTTCCTGGGTTAATTTACAAGAAATTTCTTTTGCTGTTTTATTTTATCTCAGACGTTCTCGACGTAAATTTTTGTCGTTAACTGAACTTCGTCGTTTCGGTCGTCATCCTTGGTTTGATTTTAATGTGGGTTTACATTCACAAAATGGTCTACATCCTGTTTCTTCAAATTTAAAAAAGAAATCTCATGCCGTCACAACCAATTCGACTACAGAAACTGATCTTCCAAATCCTGGTATTGTTACTTCATCGTCAAGTGCACATTGAATTCAGAATAGATCGTCCCATTACTTCATTTCCATAATAGGACATTTTCAACATTTTTTGTGTTTTTACTGTTACTTTTGCATGACGTTATCATGTCAGACATTAATACTGACAGTATTGTAAAACTTATTCAAATCCTATTCCAGTATCGTTTTCGCCATTCATTAGGTTTGCGGGGATTTAAGTTAAGTAATTTCATCATCATTATCACTTCATTGTTTTTGGTGTATAGAAATGTAATATCTCTTCTTTTATGCTTTCCTTGTTCTAAGTTTATAAAAAAATGTCTTCTTCATCTTGATTCCATTTTCTGTATCTTCCTATTTGCTCATTAGGTTATTTGAATAAACTTGTAATGTCTAATTTTTTCAGTTATTTAGGAGGGTGCATTTAACAAAATTCAAGTTACCGGAAAATATTACATTCAAGGTCCCCGTCATATTAAAAGACTAATATTCTTCGTTCAAATATTAGTCTTTTACATTCAAGGTGTTTATTTTCTGTAAATTTTTTTCTCTATTTTGTAATTAGTCTATAAAATAGCCGTTGTTGGGTGACTCAGTAGTTGTTTTCCTAGGTAGCGATTATTAAGTGCGAAAATTTTATTTGATTATTTTATTTGAACACAAAGGGCACCGAATACAAATGCGCCACACAAGTCACTTGATTTGTTGTGATACTGCCCTGGTGCCCAGATCGGAGCAGGTGGTTTTCTTAGGTCACTCCAGCCTTTGATCTAAAAGTTTAATCCACAAGAGAATGGAGAAACGTCAGGAGATGCAGTCACATGGTAACCGGTGACCAACAATTGGTTCACGTTCTATTTGTTACTTCAGAATACCAGAGCCCATGTGCACCAGTGTTTTGGAATCAGGGTTTTCCAACTCTCCTAGATGGATCCCCCATATCCACCAACCCGGTTAAAGCGCCGGACATTCGCTTTCCGTCCTCTCAATTTCGTAAACAACACCCCCGCCGCGAGAAGGCAGTGAGTAGGACTTCCCTGGCAGTGGCTGTATACGCGTGACCATGTGAGAGCATTTCGAGAGGGAGAGCTAACTTCCCCCACCCTCGGTCGTACCAGGGCATTTTGGGCGAAATTCAAACTGACAGTTTTCAAATTGTAGTGGATCACCTTCAGTTGGTTACATTTTGTAATTATAGAGCATTAAATATGAATTCTATCCATGGTGTTATTAATTACTGTTCAGCTATAAATAGTACCACTTGTCAGGTGTTGTTAGTTGAATAGAATCACTCTGTACATAGAATTATTGTTGTTATGTTACCTTATGTTATGCACCTTAAAACCCAATGGTTCGTGTTATCGATTGACATCCTGAATGTTACACCTAACAGACAGTCTTTGGGATTCACCTGTGAATTCCTACTGTACTTCTATAATTACGGTTGGTCAAGGCAGGTAAGATTCACTTGATGAGAACAGGTAATAGGTGGATCGTGCTATGATGTTTAGGCGATGAATGTGTGAGTAAGAATATTAACATCCTCAATCACTATACACCTTCATCTCAATTGTTTCAGTCCTTTTGTTGAAATATCTAGTATTGCCCAACGTTAGGGTTTTTTCTCAACTTCACTATCTGTGGCAACCTAATAATGGCTGCAAAGTAGTTTTAATTTCGTGGTAAGTATGTGATTTAATTATCTGAAGAAAGACTTTGATGATTATGAATAGAAACATACTTAAATAATATTTCCCGTTTAATGATTATTGTCATGTTCTTTAAAGTATCAGGTTGTGGGGGTGTTTTTGGATGCTTAGTCCAACTTTTGCGGTGGGCCGTTGAAATGGTTGAAATTTTGGCGTTTTTGAGATGTATAAATGGTAGTGTTAACGTTACAGTTGAAAACAATTTGAGTTCATTCAGATTTGAGCCAACTTTTGCACTGCTGATATCTCGATGTGGTTGTAAAAGTTGGAGCGTATGATGTATTGTAAAACAGGTGTTTTGTACTTGTGAAATTTGTCTCTCTGGGGTTTAGAGTACCCGGCAAATCTCTACTTTCGTCTATCTTCATTCCTGATGAGTTTCTTTAATCAATGGCGACACCGTGGTTTGGCCATTTCGTAGATGCTGAATGGGAAAAACAGAGATCAGTCTTCTAACAGATTAAACCGGTTATCCCATTACCAACTCCTCCGTGAGATCGTAGATTCTATGTAAATCGTCGGCACCTAAACTGTTAAAACCATGTTAAGGTTCCGGAAACCAACTAATCAATAATTATTTGTTGTCTGGAATTATTACCATCGCTGGATATTTAAATGGGTTGTACCTGATGCTGAGATCCCGAATCCGCCGACGCGTTGTGAAAACCAAAGATAAATGATGAAGGTTTATTTGACTCCCAAAATAATGTACACATTAACTACCTTCTTTGTAAAACTTATGTTCGGATTAGCCGTTGGATTTACATTATTTAACTGAACTGCATTTAATATCAGTTAGTTAATAATTTCCTAAGTGAACACATTACTTATGTCATAATGATCAACTTCCACATTGGCTTGATTTTCCTGCTTTTATTCTATCATATCAGTATTAATTAAGAAATTATTTACAAACGGATTCCTCTTTTTCATATAACTTAGAGTTCTTACTTCCAACGGGAATAAAGCTTGTCCTTTTTTATGATGCTTGGAATGCCCATTATTTGTTATTTTGAGTTACGTTCTTGTTCTCGTTAGCTAGATGATATCTTATTCGGTCGGCTACTTGTCATCTAGATGTTAGATCATCATTCATGTTTGGAATTATAGATGGTAAATAATTTTCTATACTGTTTCATATTCGCTAAAATGACGGTTGAATTCACTTTAATGACGCACCCGAGATCTATCTGAATCTGAAGACTGATTTAGTTACTCGAACATATTACATCTGGTTCCCACAGTAAATCAGACTTAGTTGAAGTCAAGTTTGCATTCAGGATGATAAGAATAAAAAAACAGTCAATTGCAACACAGTCAAACGCGAAAATAACTGGTTCCAAATGGCTGTTCAAGAAAATTGCGTTTCGACCAGTTAGAGCATCGCCACTTTGTCGATAATTAATTTAACCGATCTGATGCAAAAGTTAGATAAACACTGATTACTAATAAGTAACATAGTCATAAAACAAAAATTTAACACTGGACGGCTAGGTCTGGGGTTTTTATGCATTTTAAGTTGTTCCCAGCGCCTTATTTCAGTGATATGGAGCGAATTCGGTGGTCTAACGTTACTTCTTTTCAATCACAACCTTAAAATTCGCAGTTTCGTGTTTTTCTCGCTTAATTTTCGAGGTTTAGTATGGATATTGATGCTTCGCAGTCGTTTACTCTTTCCAAACTCGTTCAGTTTTGGGGCAATTTATTTTCTTACGATATATTCTTCTGCTGTAGACGCCTTTCAGGAATTAGATGGTGGTTGGAGATAGTCAACAGGAAACCCTGGACCCAGGTTTCGTGCTACTTGGCACTCGTCAGCAAGGTGTACCTGTAATCTTGAGGGAACTGGTGCTCCCTGGCGGATTCGATCTCGTGTCACCCAGCTTCACAGTCAGAGACGTTACCACTGAGCTATCCGAGCCGTGACTAACCTCCTGTAGGACTGTGATGTAATCACAATTGATTGATCACTGAGTGGTGATCAATCTCATGCTTGTCTAGTCCTTAATAGTGCAGATCGAATGTTGACTACCTCCAACCACCATCTAATCTCAATACATAGTGCCCGCAGTGTCGAGTCACCTAGACTGGTGGCCACATTGCAACGTGATCGATAGCATTCGATCTGCACTATTAAGGACTAGACAAGCATGAGATTGATCACCACCCAGTGATCAATCAATTGTGCCTTTCAGGAATGTTCTAAAAAACAGCCGCATATGCTTTAAAGACGGACTTGCTTGTAATGATGATCACCTACCTTATAGCGACTATCTACTCAAATAATATTCATTTGTTAAGCGTCCATTAAAGTCCTAGATTATGAATCGATTCTACTTTCACACAATTTCTTCCGATCAGCATCATTCATCTTAAGGTCTTCAGTTGTCCAAAATTGCTAGTTTAATGTGCGGCTCTCGATTAAAATAAGGTCGAAACTTCAATGATCAATACGTTTGTCGCCTGCACCTTCTGCAATATGTCCAGATGGGGGAATATATATGAATCATTGCGATTAACTGCAGAATAAATGGCACTGTTCGCTATTAGATAGTTAATTTCAAGTATATTTTACTAGTCGTTCTGTTATTTGAATAAGTAAATACGTTATAAACTGGAGTTGTTTTTTCTAAATATGTTGGTAGACCCCTTCGTATGAGTGGGATCACTAACTGATAGTTTCTGTAATGTACTGTGTTAAAAGCATCTATCAGAATACCGAGCAATGATATGCTTCATCATTACAGAGAAGGTTAGTAAAGAAATGTAGTTTAGGCTTCCTAGTATGGTTGATCACAAACGATGATACTACTCGACAGGAGTTGTATTTATAGTTAACTGGCCTACCTGTATGATACAAAATTTTAGTGAAACCTCTGGCATTTACAGCTTTTGAAAGATATCATTTTGGATGGGTGTGGTTATATTGATAGTGCTGCTTGGATGTAATGGGCTTTTTGTCAGAATCTATCGCAATAGTGAATATAGCAAAGGAGCTTATTGCCAAGCACAGCCCAACTGTTTCCGTCAAAATAGTTTGGATAATGATCGTAAGCAGTCGCCTGAAGCAAAAATATAGTCTGCTTGGTCACTTTGGCCGAATAACAACCACCACAAGTACTATTTCTTTTTCTTGTAGTGTGATATGGTCTCTTTGGCTGGTACATAAACCAAGTATGCGTAAAATAAATGATTCGCATAGTGGAAGCTGTTATTAGCGTTCTGGACTCAACTGGAAGGGCTAGGAGAACAAAGGACCAATAAGAACGCTGGGTTGCTCATACCAGTCGAACGTCATTGGTTTGACACAGTGCTAAGATGGTAT